TATTTTGTGTTATCAGAATTATCAACTAAGGAAATGTACCTCATTTCTCAATCAACAAAAGTTACCAAAAACTAGTTTTGTATTATAGCCATAAAAAATCATTTATTTAATTGCAACAATAGTTTACAATAATAATATGATAATACTTTTCCTATAATTGACCCCTTACGAATGAATCACCTAACTTAACCTCTGAAGACAGAGCTTGTGACAGGGATGGATGGCTATTATTATTATTTTCAACTAATTGATGTTGCTATTTGACTTACACCTGAGGAAAACCCAAAATAAACCCATTCACTGTGTTTCAAATATAGATGTCATATTAAAAAAAAATTAAATTACTGCTAATTTACCCCTATAAGATGAGTTTCTTGGACATTTCTTAATCATTAGGTATCTAAGTCTAAAGTATCAAAGTTTGGTATACCTACTTTCTAGATTGTTAGTCGACCTAACAAACTTTGAGGATCTTGAGATTTTTAAATTACTACAGTCTAAATATATGTCAAAGTTTATCAGCCTCGTAAATTTTAATAAACGTTCTGTATCAGCCCGTTGCAAGAACTATTGGTATGATACAACTATAGGTCCCATTACAACAATGTAAATTTAGTTTGGTTGCAAACGCAAAAAGTAAGTAAGACCTCGCCAGATATTGGTTTTTCCTAACAAGGGAATACCACCTCATGTATTAAAATGCTATCGGCAATATTTTTGTTTAATAATAGATACATATTTTAAATGTAACTAAAATGAAGGAATTCCTTGAAATGTTGAGGTCTAAATAATTTCCAACATCACAAAGTAATTGACCCTATCTTTCAACATATAATGTGACACCGAATGAATAGGTACATATACAGGGTGTCCCAACGAAAAATGCCCACCCTAAATATCTGCGGAGGTAATACCTTTCTAAAAAAGTGGTGAAATACGTCGACCTTGATTTCATGGGAACACATACTTGTATACGTAAAGTCATCCCTCTACCCTACACAGTCACACCCTCAAAAAATTTAAATTGCAAGGGGGTCGAGTGATACCTCTTTACAAAATGATAGCTTGTTTCTTCGACAAATGATTGTTGGAATTACCCAAATACACAACATTGGATAGCACACCAACTAATTGTTATTAGAAAGTTATTTTACTTTTCGTTGGGACTCCCTGTATAAATAAGCTGTTTAAGGATAATTTTAATTGTTTTATAATTTAAACATAAAAACGTGTTATGTCTATCTATAGGCGAAGCTTCCCCAAACATGACAACAATTGACTAACCCTGTATATTTTGAATTACAAAATAAAAGAACTTTTTCAATTTCTACCTTATTTTTAAATTACTTATTTTTCCCATTGAAGATTAATTTTGTTTTGTTTCTTTGATTACATAATAACATTAATGAATGTTTGATTAAATTTCCTTGCAGTTTTTTATTTTAAATATGTACACTGAAAAATAGAATTACTTGAAATATCCCATTCATTTGTTAACCAGTGTAATTTGAACTTTACGATAATTGAGAATCCGTATGTATGCTAAATTGATTTTTTTTTAAATAGATGTCACTTTCGGGACTAACCTGACTAAACCTGATACTTTCAGAACAGACCAGATAGAATGCTTATTTTCCGAAGGGTTTCTATAAAAAAAATGTCCAAGATATTTCAGGGTCAAGAAAAATTTAGCTGATCTGGCAACATTGTAATCTATGCTCTGAAAAATAAGATGTAGGAATGTGTTATAGTTAGCGAGGAATGTGTTTATGTAAGTGGCATCTACACGTATTTCTATGTTTATTTCTTAGGTTATTTTCTAGTTTAAGTCCTTCCACACTTTGAAAATTGTGCTTATTTCATATCCCTTCTAAATAACATTCCTCGTTATCATACTTTGGGTAAATGTTAAGGGAAAAATTAGTTTAGGTATTTCACATACCTTCAATCAGCCATATTTACCCATTTCTTATTTTCCAGTTCAATGTACACTGTTGCCAAGTCAGCTAAATTTGCCTTGTCCCTAAATACGACAGGAAAAATAATTTTCAGGTCAATACATTTATTATACCTTTTTTGGATTACGAGAAACAAAATTTAGACCAATTAGACCACTTTTTACGTTGTTTTGCCTACCCAACACTACTTGCTCTCAAGTCCAGTGAGATTAAGGTTAATTTCAATAGTCAAAACATCTTATGGACATTGTTTTTATGCGTATAGCAAAGATAACCATCAAAATTGATCAAACTTATAGAATTGTCCTTTTTCGTAGCGAAGGGCTTTTATTTTAATGATGTTTCGGAAGATGTTGTCAATAATATTATCTACAACATCAAATCTAAGGCTTATGGAATGGATGATCTTAATATTACCATTTTACACTTTTGTTGTCCATTTCTATTACTCATTATTACACACATTTTTAACCCTTAACTGGTCCGGCACTCTACCAGTAACGTAGTCTGTGATACTACTTTTTTTCGGAGGGTAAAACAAAAATGAAATAGGCAAAATAAATTTTACTTTGCCATGTTGAAGTTTTTACTTTCCTATCTGTATACAGAAATAAAGAAAGTATAGGAATCATGATTTTTTTCGACCTCGAGTTTTCGACGGATTTTTACGTTTTGAGGTCCCCTGAATCCGTTTTGACTATTTTCGCGATGATGTCTGTGTGTGTGTCTGTATGTCGCATAACTCATGAACCGATACACAGAAAAACACCAAATTTTAAACTTAAACTTTATTCCAGCGTCTAATGAACTGATTAGATTTTGGGCAGAGTCGGACCATCTGGGGGGGGTACTAGGTGGTCATTTTTATATTTTATAGAATATCTCTGTTATTTACGTTTGGAGAAGAAAATTATTCAAATAAAAGTTACTTCTAATATAATTGTCTATAATTTTTGTTCTATACAAAATTTTCCTAAAATGGTCCGTACTCGAGAAATTTGATAAAATGTAAAAAAAATATTTTTTTATAAAAATTGTTCAAATAAAAGTTGTTTGTAATATAATTCTCTATAATTTTTATTCTATATATAATTTCTCTAAAATAGACCGTATTCGAGATATTTAAGAAAAAGTGTAAATCTAGAATTTTGAAGAAAACTCATAAACGAATAGGGGGTAAAACATTCAATTTTAAACTTAAGCTTTATTCCAGCCTGCGATAAAGTAATTAAATTTTGGACAGAGTCCAAACATCTGGGGGGGTACTTTATAGGTGGTCATTTTTATATTTTATGGAATATATCTGTTATTTACGTTTGGAGAAGAAAATTCTTCAAATAAAAGTTACTTCTTATATAATTATCTATAATTTTTGTTCCATACAAAATTTTTCTAAAATGGTCCGTATTCGAGAAATTTAACAAAATGTAAAAAAATTAATTTTTTATAAAAATTGTTCAAATAAAAGTTGTTTGTAACATAATTCTCTATAATTTTTAATCTATGCATAATTTCTCTAAAATGGACCGTATTCGAGATATTTGAGAAAATCTGTAAATTTCGAATTTTGAAGAAAACTCAAAAACGGATAGAGGCAAAAACATTAAATTTTAAACTTAAGTTTTATTTCGGCCTGAGGTAAAATGATTAGATTTTGGACGAAGGCGGAACATCTGGGGGGAGGGTACTTTATGGGAGGCCGTTTTTATATTTTATGGAATATATATTATAGAAAAATGTGTCGAGTTAGATGTATGTGGAAAATGTATATATTTAGTTTATCCTCCTAAACATTTATAAAGGTGCTGCAATAGGTTGTACAAAATAACCGGAAAAGGCCTATAATAATTAGATAGGAAAGTCATGTGTTGGACACATCAGATTTTTATAATATTTTAACTGAAATTAAATATGGAAGAATACATTTCATTTGCTATTTTTATTTATATTATAATAAAATGCAATATTTTGACTGATTTAACCTAACTTTTCATCATTTCCTTCTATAAAACCTAAAATAAAGTGATTCATGAAATTGTCAGTTCTTGACACATAGGGTCCTCGAGTTTGCAACGTTGCCATACTATATTGTTGACTTTTATCACTGATAATTTCAAAGTTTAAGATTTCTGTTTGAATGAGAAGAAAATAAGTTATGGGTGAAAATATAATGTGTTATGTGAGACTTTTCATTTCAATTTGAGCTGTGTCCAGGCCGTTGGAGTCTATGCCTACGGCAAGTCGTTGTTTCGTTTTGAGTGAAAGAAAATTTAAAAAAAGTTGTCTAGGTATTACCTACATGTTAAGGTGATTTAATTAATTTCACTTTTTAATTTTGTGTGTAGTTTTTTTGAGCTGCATTCTTAAAATTAATTTGGTTGATATATTAATTTTTTCATTTTATATACGATTATTACCGTACTTATCTTTTTGAAGCAAACGAAAAATTTATGATTATAAATTTTAAATAATCCTTAAACTTATAATTTTATTAACAACTTGGCAACGTTTGTTATTTTTAAGACAGAAACTATCATTTAGAGTAATTGTTTTGTGATTATAACCTGTAAAATTGGGATTTTTAATTCAATTTTTTTCGAAAAATACCTCTTCATCCATAATTTTTTTTTTCGAAAATTTACTATAGAAACTAGTTACTTTTGAGTGTTTAAAAATTTTTTGTGAATTTCGCACCTCTGGATCCTTTACCGGACCCCTATCCAAAGAAGATTTCCACCCATATTTGAAACTGTTTTCTTAGTGTAATTTTGATTTAAAGAATGTAACTTAAAAAAGAATCCCGTATTTGAAACTGTTTTCTCAGTGTCACTTTTATTTTAAAGATGTGACCTAAATAATATTCCCTTGAAATTGTTTTCTCAGTGTAACTTTGATTAACATTTTTTTTAAAGATTACTGAAATTTTACGAACATTAGTGCATACATATTATTAATGCGCATTTGAATAAATTGTGAAAAATAATAATACGATGGAGAAAAAAGAATGTGAACCGGGCATTAGCGAACAACTGATAATAATACCTCGTGGTGTGTTGGTTCTGTGTCGCCGTCGATGTCGCAACGCTTCTCGACAGAGACGTCCAAATAATCCAAATCCAAGGTGGCGCGATGCGCGTCTCTCTTGGCGCAGACCGAGGAGGACTCGATGCGATCCAATGAGGAACAGAACTAAATAAACCAACTATATAGAAAATTCACTGTACGCACACGTTCTGCTGGCCCAAAGGCCTCGAGTATACTGCAGACTGCAGAAATCGGGTTCGCTTCGCTCTCTGTTGTTGGCTTGAGGCTTGGTTGGGCCATCTTCGGCTGCGTCAGCAGCCATGGCCAACTACGTTGCTAACGACGCGGAGGACGACGGGGATCGACGACGACCTACCAGGCTTCAGGCTTAGAATCGATGGACGAGGTGTAAGACGCGAGGGTAACTTGATGGCATAGGGCTGCCTGTCTGCTTTTATACGGATTCGTTTCTGGATTTGATCAATAGCTCTTCCGAAGAACTTATGTGACAATTCAGGAGAAAGAATATACATTTTTATAGCGTCACAAACAGAAACTGCTATTACGGAGTATACTCAATTGCCAACAACAATCGTTTTAGTAGCAAATGCATTTTGTCACTAATATAAGGTATAGAGATATTTATATAGGCACATGTGAAATGAGTAGTACATTAGCAACGATTTCAGTGATTTATGGTTTAACCCCTCAACAACGACTACTTACTACTCAAGCATTAAAACACTCCAGTACTATGGTATACTTGTTGCATTTGCATTTATAGATTAAAAATCCTACTAATACAGGGTGTCCCAATGAAAAGTAGCCCGTTTCCAGAGCTTATAACTTTTAAGCGCCTAATCGTAGAAACGTGCGGTTTTCACTGATATGTGTTATTTTGCTATAAGTTTTGGTTTAGTGGCTCATAAATTATGTATTGCTACAGGGTGTTTTTTAAAAATCTTCTCTTTTAAATTCACCGTATCAAACTTATTTTGTAAAATACCATGTACAAATTATACATTTTTGAAAAGTAAAAGAGTATCTTTCAGATGACCAACACATATACAGGGTGTTCCATTTGATAAAATTTGGTTACGGTGAATTTAAAAGAGAAGATTTTTAAAAAACACCCTGTATAGGTAATACATAATTTTTGTGTCACTGAAACAAAACTTATAGTAAAATAACACATATCAGAAAAAACACCTTTGCAGGAAATTTTTAATTCTTTAACTTCTTATATTCATTTTAACAATTTGGAAATCATTGTCTATGTCAGCAATAGCTCAAGTGAAAAGAGCACTGTGCGTTTTTGTCTTATCGTGCGGACAAAACACGTGACATCGGACAAACTACTGTGCGAAGAGTATAATACTGTCAAATATGACTACTTTTTCGTAGGGACAATATTGTCATTTCGTAAATGGTTAAACATATGGATTCGATTTAATGTGATGACACTGAACTTTTGGATTTTCGTTTTTTCAGTTTTTCGTTTTTTCTTTTTTTCGTTTTTTCGTTTTTTCGTTTTTTCGTTTTTTCGTTTTTTCGTTTTTTCGTTTCTTCGTTTCTTCGTTTCTTCGTTTCTTCGTTTTTTCGTTTTTTCGTTTTTTCGTTTTTTCGTTTTTTCGTTTTTTCGTTTTTTCGTTTTTTCGTTTTTTCGTTTTTTCGTTTTTTCGTTTTTTCGTTTTTTCGTTTTTTCGTTTCTTCGTTTTTTCGTTTTTTCGTTTTTTCGTTTTTTCGTTTTTTCGTTTTTTCGTTTTTTCGTTTTTTCGTTTTTTCGTTTTTTCGTTTTTTCGTTTTTTCGTTTTTTCGTTTTTTCGTTTTTTCGTTTTTTCGTTTTTTCGTTTTTTCGTTTTTTCGTTTTTTCGTTTTTTCGTTTTTTCGTTTTTTCGTTTTTTCGTTTTTTCGTTTTTTCGTTTTTTCGTTTTTTCGTTTTTTCGTTTTTTCGTTTTTTCGTTTTTTCGTTTTTTCGTTTTTTCGTTTTTTCGTTTTTTCGTTTTTTCGTTTTTTCGTTTTTTCGTTTTTTCGTTTTTTCGTTTTTTCGTTTTTTCGTTTTTTCGTTTTTTCGTTTTTTCGTTTTTTCGTTTTTTCGTTTTTTCGTTTTTTCGTTTTTTCGTTTTTTCGTTTTTTCGTTTTTTCGTTTTTTCGTTTTTTCGTTTTTTCGTTTTTTCGTTTTTTCGTTTTTTCGTTTTTTCGTTTTTTCGTTTTTTCGTTTTTTCGTTTTTTCGTTTTTTCGTTTTTTCGTTTTTTCGTTTTTTCGTTTTTTCGTTTTTTCGTTTTTTCGTTTTTTCGTTTTTTCGTTTTTTCGTTTTTTCGTTTTTTCGTTTTTTCGTTTTTTCGTTTTTTCGTTTTTTCGTTTTTTCGTTTTTTCGTTTTTTCGTTTTTTCGTTTTTTCGTTTTTTCGTTTTTTCGTTTTTTCGTTTTTTCGTTTTTTCGTTTTTTCGTTTTTTCGTTTTTTCGTTTTTTCGTTTTTTCGTTTTTTCGTTTTTTCGTTTTTTCGTTTTTTCGTTTTTTCGTTTTTTCGTTTTTTCGTTTTTTTCGTTAAAAACCAACTATTCAAATTGGTAACACAACGATTCGTTTTTGTAAGTCGACTATTTTGAAAACAAATCTAGAAATCTTATTCCAATTTTTTTTATACTACATTACATCCTGAATACAACCCTATAACCCCTACAAAAGCTATTTTCTACACCTACATGATATTAGCTTATCTACGCACAGATTACAAAACGAAAAAGTATGCTATTGTCATCAACTGAACGAATATTATTCATATCTATTCTAGGTAGTGAGAACACTGAAAAAAATGAAATCCACCAATCACCGTTCATATATTGATCAACCGACTGCTATTATTTTTAAAAATTTAAATAAGTGACAATTCTGTCAAACTGTCAGTATAATTTTATACATTAAAATGGGTTATTCTTGATAAAAAACTAGATTTTCTGTTTTTATTTCGTCTATAATTATAAATAATTTGTTAATTTAAATAAAACTATATGAAGTCAATTTAATTACGAGTATTAAAGCAACAAAAATAAAAGAATAGATGGTCCTGTTCTCAGTGTTCTTGCCTTCCACACTGAAGACTCGAGTTCGATTCGATTCTTGGTTGGGGAAAAATGAAATGAATTTTGTTTCGTTTATTTTATTTTAAAAATTAATAAAAGTCATAAATTATTTTAAAATTTGTTATTTTGTCTTAACAATCTAAAATATATTTTTTTATTTGAAAATTTTCGTAAGCGGGTCGTAGAAAAAATATACTTTACAACTCGAGTAGATTGTCCACATCGCACTGAGACGATTGAGCACTCGTGCTCAAATTTCGTCTTCGTACGACATGGCCATCATATCCACTCTTGTTGCACAAACTACTATTTTCGTTGTTGTGCATATCAACTCATAAATAATTTAAGTACTTATAGCGAGTACCCTTCGAACTTTTCAAAAACATTTCTAAATAATTATTCCTAGAAATAAGTGGGCGATTCCGCAGAATCATTTTAAATCTTATAGGTACCCAGTTGGTTGTGGACATCTGCTTTTCGAACCCGATATAGCAAAACAAAACACAACCGGTCTTCACGACTTGGCATGGCACTCTTCTCTGACACACTGCCTCAGGGTAGGCCGTTTTGTGTGGTGGTACTATTATAGTACATTTATCAAGATTGAATACGTAATAAACGTTCCACACACGCTGGTTTTACGAATTTTACAGTTAGATGTTGTATCAATGAAGATTCTCTTTCTTTGGAACTTTCGATTTCATTTAGTTGTTTCGTTATGGTTACAAAGTTTTTCGGTTTTATTAAATGTAAATATTGTTGTTTCTTCTATTGTTTTGTAGCCGTTACTGTTACTATTCTTTTGATAAAATTGTTTTATTGAAACACACATAAAGATAGATGACTGCTTAGTTTTTGATTCTTAAGAATCGTCAACTGCTACCCAGTTTGCCAATTTTGTGTTTCGTGACTTGAATCGTTTTGCGCGTTTCCTTGTCCCATTTGTCATGAGCTTCTGTTAACTTAAATATGTCTACCAATATTTATTATTATTCTATTAATGCTAATTCTAATTATTATAGAAAATGTAAAGATTATGAATATACAGGATGTCTCCAAAAAGGTTGGGACATAGTTCAGCTAAACTACTGTAATAAAAATAATATGATTTAACGTGACTTATCTATATTCGAAGCTGGTTAAAACGGTATAAGACGTGACAGTTTGAAAAAAAAAATGCGCAATAAAAGAATTAGACTGTGATTGTTTTTTACAATTTTTGTTATTACATGTTTTATGACCAGATATAAGTCGCGTTTTGAGATATTATGCTCTTTATCAGTAAGTTGTAAGTGTATTAAACACCTGTCAACAGAATCTACTCATCTATCATGACATGTCCTGGTTTACTTATATAAATTTGTTTGTTGGTAATTCTACAGAGTCTTCAACAATACTCATGAATTAGATGCTCCGAGCAAATACTTCTCTAGAGACTCTTTCCCTCTTCCCCTCCCTAAATTTTGTAATCAACATCTACTCCCCCAAGGGTGGAAATCTCTAGTTTTTAATTGGCTTATTCAATTGCCGTTGCCAAGTTTGACAGCGCGAGTTCCGACACTTTCTGGCACATGTCAAATTTTGGTTCGTATTTTACGAAAAATATAATTATTTATAGCGTTGTATTGTAAGGGTTTTAAATGTATATTTAAGATTTATTATCTGTAACAATATGGTGAAAACAAGCTTTATGTGTAAAATACCTTTTGAAAATGTATCTTCAAGATTATATCATAAGTCAAACACAACCTAATTATCAGTGGCGGTGCATTAGGCCATCATTATGCAAACATTTTTAATTTTGAATTAGCACATGTCAAGTTTCTAATTTTCTTGTCGAAAAAGTTAAATTATGCAGCTAAGTTCGTCTTCCTCCGTCTCATAATGAGTACAAGAGTGAAGGTTAATTGCTTATTGACATAAATAAAGTTATTTCATGCGTGTGACTTTATTTTAATATCACATTTTTGTAAAGTTTATTGTTATTTTTACTTACTTTTCTTTATAAAAGGGAAGTATTGTAATCGTGAATAAGTCACCTTCTGAGTTTATTTCAGATTTTCACGTTAAGGGGTCCATAGATTACGAAAAATATATTTCCCTATTCCGTCGGTCTGTATGTTGTATGTCGTCTGTCGTCTGTCGTCTGTCGTCTGTCGTCTGTCGTCTGTCGTCTGTCGTCTGTCGTCTGTCGTCTGTCGTCTGTCGTCTGTCGTCTGTCGTCTGTCGTCTGTCGTCTGTCGTCTGTCGTCTGTCGTCTGTCGTCTGTCGTCTGTCGTCTGTCGTCTGTCGTCTGTCGTCTGTCGTCTGTCGTCTGTCGTCTGTCGTCTGTCGTCT